CAAACAAATTGTAAGTAACTAAGAAAACTTTATTGAAGACTGAATTATACATCATTTGACAAAATAAAGATTATTATTTCAAATTCTAGTATAATGAACTAATCCAGAACACCTAACTGTATAAGTATTCCAAACACTAAATTGTGCATTAAAAAGCATTATTTAAAACAACAGTTTTTATTCCATGAAAACGTTTGTTCACAGCAGTTTAAATTTATACTGGACATTTGTCAGCAAACTTGCTTTATTATTTAACCAAATATCAACAAAGAGTTGATTAATAAATGTTTAAGACTAGTCTATGGGACATTTAGAGGTAAGTCTTGAATGTAAAGGAGATCACACCAGTCTTTCCATGTGACCCTGGCTATCATGTTAATTTTTAGTCACTATCATATATTTTCAATGATTACACTATATATAAATCTTAACTGCCCATAAGATTTGCTACAGTAAACTTCCACAAACACCGGTGTAGAAATTAATGTGATCTCCTTTACATTTCTACAGTAAATCCAGCTACAGCAGGATAATTAGAATAGTTATTTTGTATTACACAACTTCCACAGATAATAAACATCAAATGTAAGCTTTTATTATAAAGTGGTATTATACTAAGAAGCGCAAAGCATATATAAGGAGTTGAATTAAAATGGTGATCTCCTTTATCCATTCTGTGAACTCCTTTACATGCATCTCACCATGTCCCCAATTATCTTTTTTTATAAATAGACCCAAAGTTATTGCTCAAAGATTTAGCTTTGTAATTTATCAGTCATTTAAACCTAAAATTACCACCACTCACACCATTTGAATGTTAATTATACAGTTAGAGATACACACCTGTTAGGTAATCCCACTTTCAAGGACTTTTCTTGCAGGAAAATGAGTTGATTTGTGACTAATACATTTCAAATCCACCCTACTTTAATCATCTGCACACGGTGGAAACTAAATATGCCGGGAAAAGCATTATGCACTCTATATATATTCCCCTCTGAAGCAAAACTAACGTAAAAGAGAACACATAAATGAGTTCACGTAATTTCTTGTTCAGTAATTTTTATTGACGAGTGCAATTTACTCTTACCTTTTCAGTTATTGATACCAACAAATGTTTTGGCTGTTGTTTATAACAATATAACAGAATTTAAGTATCTGCACTAGATATATGCGTAAAGGTGATCATGTGCTTAAAAAAATTAATTTTATTACGAGTTCCAACTGGGCATACCCAAAATCTCTCAATACCCTGTGTTTGAAGTATGATCAAATCAAATTATATACTTCCCGGATTGATTTTACTCTAATCTGTTTATTTACTCAAAAATTTGTAATTATTGTCTTGAAAATAAACAACCATAAAGAAGAACACATGATTACAGTGATATGTTATTTTTGGATATTTTTATAAGTGAAAAAGTAATGGGACAATCAGCTAATAACAAATTTTCAAAACATAAGTGTTTACTAATTAATCACAGTAAAGGCTTGAGTCATACTTACAATTTTTGTGTTTGTGTTATTGCTTTGAAATTAAAATTGTCTTCTGGCTACATGCTACTTTTAACATTCCACCATTGTTCATTTCCTTGGTTTAATGGAAAAACTTAACACAAACTCAACATAAATGTTTGGAAAGCTCTGTCCATTGTCTGTCATTTAGAAATTATTATATGTTTGTGTAAAGTATATACTCAGAGAAATTTGCCCCAGAACACTTGCAACATCAAATTGAACACTTAAGAAAGCCTGGCCCCTATTCTGCCCATATTTGTGACATATTTTTGACTTTTCAGCCTTTTCTTATACATGGACAAAGAGTGTACCCTGTATGAGACAAGATGTGTTCTCTCATGGGTGTGCCCCAATGGAGCCCTTGCCATTGGGTGTCCCACCCCATGAGCTTCCTTTGGATGCTTTCTGAAGGGTGCTCATCTAGGTAATCTTTGCCCAAGTCTCTCCACCATCTCAACATGGGATTCAAGCTATCTGTGTATGGATGTGTGCATTAATTTTGAAATTTATCATTTTCCTTACCTGAAAATGTATTTCCAATAGATATGCACCTTCATACATGTTCCCACTATCCTATTGTGTCTGTCATTATTGCCTCATTAAAGAATGAAGATTCTTGTGCACGGTTATAGAAGGAGTATTTGCACATGGAGATATATCACACTTCTATTGGTGGAGAGTTTTGCTGCATGATACATCATTATATCGAAGCCCAAGTTCACATGGACATGTGAAATTAGGTGAGAGTTTTCACAAGGCTTGTGGCATGCAAATCTCTCAGGCAGAATGTGCAAACTCAAGAGGAAATAACTACTTGTGTAAAGAGGTACTTATCGGAAATACACTTTCAGTTAAGGAAAATGTTAACATTACAGGCAGATGTATAGGTAAACATCTCAAGCCTTAATATACTTTGTCAACATGCAAAATGAACCGGTGATCATGACAGTGGACCACCAGTTATCTTTACAGTATTGGTCCAATGCCCATTGTAATCTAATATTAGGTATGCATGTTTCTTTACTGTATGCTATGTTATAGCCACATTACTGTTTCTAAGTATGCGTGTTTTCATAAGCCTCACATACTGCAAAAAGTTTTGCATGTGAGAAATGGAAACAAAGAAACCCAATATTATGTTAAAATTTTTTCTTGAATTTCTTAATTTAAAAACTTCATTTTTCCAAAATTTAAGTATTAAACTCTAAATAACATTAGCCCCCCAGTGGCAGAGCGGTATGTCTGCGGACTTACAATGCTAGAAACCAGGTTTTGATACCCGTAGTGGGCAGAGCACAGATAGCCCATTGTATAGCTTTGTGCTTAACTTCAAACAAACAAACAAACTAACTAAATAACATTAACTTTGTTTGTACTTCTCCAGCGGCCCGGCATAGCCAGGTGGTTACGGTGCTCGACTTGCAATCTTTCAGCCGTGGGGCCATTATAATGTGACGGTCAATCCCACTATTCGTTGGTTAAAGAGTAGCCCAAGAGCTGGCAGTGGGTGGTGATGACTAGCTGCTTTCCCTCTAGTTTTACACTGTTAAATTAGGGATGGCTAGCGCAGATAGTACTCGTGTAGCTTTGCGCGAAATTCAAAAACAAACAAACAAATTTCTCCAGTTGTTTTTTCAGTCAAACAGCAATGATAAAGCTGTTTCTAAAAAGAAAACTGAATTAATTATAAAGTGGAGTTTAAACAGTAAGTTCCATTTTTATTGTGGAAGTTTTCTCAGACTTTCTGTGTATCCAAATAGAAAGTCATTATAATTTTTTGGATAAGTTCTTTGTCCTGTATGTGTGATGTAATTTATTTTAATGTACATGATGGAATTTTATTTTCTCAGTCCACACTGTAGCACTTGCTCTGAAAACATAGGAAAAGTACATGTGTAAAAGTAAAAATACAAAATCTTTAGAGATGTTTTTTCTAATAATATTTGTATGCATTTATTTTCTATAACTTCAAAATTTTATGGGTTCTTAGAATTACTAATGTGGTTTTCTGTTGATGCTGTCATTATTTGTCCAGGAACAAGAAGATTAGTCTGCTGGTTTGCCAGCTCTTCTGAATAATATTAAAAGTTAATTATATTATAGCTATAAAACTGAATAAATTTCTTACCCTAAAAAAATCAATTTTTTAATGACTTAAATACAATTGACAGTAATAAGAATTCACTTACTTAATGTGGTTTACTCCATAACATTAATTTTTCATGAAAGTTGATATATACAAACAACTACTATATTTGTCATATTCCAACCAGGCTGGTAGGTCTTGGTATTTGGTAGAAGGTGATGTTGGCACTGGATATGTCAGGTGTAGTGTGGTTGACATATTATAACACATTATTCTTTGCTTTTTCTCGTGGGTTCTTAGAATTTCTGCTATACGGTTTTTGGTTACTTCATAGTAAAGGTTGGTTTTTATGTATTATTACACCGTAGAGAAATCAGAATGTTTAAATGTAATATGTAAAAATTACAAGTTTTTTAAATGATAAACTTATTGTTTTTATACTTTAACAACTTAATTTTTCAGAATGTTTATATTAAACTGTGAAATCTAGCTATTTAATAATTTTTGTTTTCTGAACTGTTTTCAAATGTAGCAATGATAAAGCCAAGAGTTAAAACAAAACTATATTGAATGTATATTGTTATTTAAACAAGGAACTCCATCCCTAGATTCTATACAAATTTTACACCCAAAGTAACTTAATTGTATGATTATTCTACTGATACTTGCATTTCTCATTTGTATTGCATGTTAAGCAACTAACAGGTAATAATAATAATAATAATTCAATATTCTTTTTTTGAAATAATATTTAATGTATCTTTTTTTTTATGAATTTTGAAATTTATGCTATAAGCATTTTAGTTGTTTCATAGTCAAGGTAAGTTTTTATGACTTTTCCATCACATAAAGGGTTTGTCAGCTCAACAGTATTATATCATTAACAGAATTATAATGCCATAGGGGATTTTGAATTTGGTACTGTTTATTATTGAAACTGACAAGAAACTTATGCCAACCATTTTGCTTTGGCATAATTTATACCATTTGGTAAGAACCCATATGTAATTAATGAAAATATAATGTTTCTTTCAATGTGTCATTAAATATATGATTATTTCACTATGAATATTGGTCAACTATTGAAAAACACTATTGATAGAATCTGTATTACTTTGTGAAAACTCAGTTATAATATTTCTTTTATATATTCATAAGTTTCATAAATGTGCTGATATGAGAATTTTGACTGTCGTGCAGGAAAATATATAGTAAGTTGAAATAACTTTTAAAAAAAACATTGTATTAATTTTAGATGTGTAAAGGTTTGTTTTTTTTTCTGGAATTTTAGATAGGGATTCTTAGAAATATTCATGGTTGAATTATAAGTATAAGAAGTAAATTGGAGTTTAGAGTGATTATGTAAAAGTATTTTAAACATTTTTTTCCCTTGCAGATTGAAACATAATCAACCAAAAAATCGATATAGTGATGTACTTTGCTATGACCATTCCCGAGTCAAACTTATGTTTCCCAGTGATGATCCTTCCCAAGACTACATTAATGCTAACTATGTCGATGGTTTCCAACAGAAAAATGCATTTATTTCCACACAAGGTATTTCATAGGGTTTTGTGTATTACTGGTGTTTATTTGTTTTTTAACATGTCATTGGCTAAGACTAAATTAAATACACTAAAATCTTAGTTTCTCTTCTGAGCCTTAATATGTAAATATAAAGACCAAACATGAATTCCAATTGTTTTTTTCTACATCACTGCTTTATGTATGCTTAATTGTACTGCTTCTAAAGCTGTCTCTCCTTCAATACCTGCTTACCACTGTGTACAACCGTATTAACTAATCAATGCTTAAATTGTATGCTTATTTTACTAATAAGTGAATTTGTGTTTTGTATAATAAACTGGCTACTATTATATTGTTGGAATACTTTTTTTTTTATAAAGTATTTTCCTAAAATCTTTGGATATGTGGAGTCAAAGTGTTGACTGCTTAGAGTGCAAAGTGATTTTCATGGGAAGATTAAATATACTTTTCTTCATCTGAAAATTGTCAAATTTCATTTGCATAATCTCTAAAACTTCCTAAATAAACTTCAAATGTTTTTTTTCAGTAAAACTTTATATTTTATCTGTTATTTTCTCTACCCTAACTCTAAATGAGGTCAGTCAATTTGTCCAACCTTGTAACCACCATAACAGAAATTTGAAATAAATCTATATTACTCTTTTTTTCTTTTTAAAATGACTTCAAACTGTAACATGAAACTACATTTATTTATCATAAATAGCTCAAGTATACACCTGTTTATATTTAAATTTTATTATTTCATTGCCCTTTGAACCTGGTATAACTAATTCTCCCACTACACAACTTGTAAATCACTGAGTGAAGGAGTAGCTCATGTTATCTTATAAAATTACATAACACACAGGCTACTCATGAGCATACTTCATGAAAACATTTTATTGTTATATTTTATTTTACCTAAACTAACCTTATTTAACCTAAAAAGTTTCTAATTTTTACATTTTAATTACTTTTATAATACTAAAAAAATGCACGTAAAAACATAAATATATTATTTACCTGGGTCTTCTTTTTATATCGACTGTTAATGAAACTTAATCCTACTAATGTTACTACTGCACTAAGTATTTTTTTATCTAATTAAATAATACACCAGAATAATAACATGTCCTATAACTATCACAATTTTTCTGGATTTCTAGCTAGAATTCTGCTAAGCTCATTGATGTATTTCCTGAGGTAATAAAGTTTGAACTAGAAAACAATGTAATATAGTATGACATTTGATAGGTTAAAACTTCAGTCAACTAAATATTTGAGTGGTTCCCTGAGGTATAATCAGATGTTGTTTTTTTGTACTTCTATTCTATGTATAGCTGGTTGATTAGTGGAATTTAATAATCAATTAATCATGAAGTTCATTAACCCTATTGCTATGGGTTTTCCTATGGTCAAGGTTCAGAGGGCATGTCATCACATTTGTAGACTTGCATGCAAAATTTTATTGATCTGCTATTTTGTGAATGTACGTCAATAAGTTTGGTATCAAATTGTAAATTATAATTCAAATTTTAATATTATAGAATAGTTATTTCTTAATTTAAAATTAAATATTAAAAACAAATTCCTAAATATTGATTTTTGTGTGTCACATGATATGTTAAATGCAGCTTTGGTTCAAACTAGATGTTTGTGAAGTTCAAACACAAAATCTACAGTTTCTTACAAATTAGAAACTCAAATTACCAATACTGACAAGAAAATATAAAATAAGAACCTTCTATCTTTTCAATTTGCTGAGATATCACTATATTTAGTGAATCAAACACGGTGGCCCTGCCCACCTTTCCATTTTTAGAAATTCATATTTATGTACACTCGCGTCGCTCAATCATAACCAATCAAAAGTTCAGACTTTCCCCCACATGATTTTCTTAGCCTTTTAAAGGTGGGAAGTTCCCTAGAATATTTCTTTTGTCTCCAATCTTGGGAGGAAGGGGTAAGTGAAAATATTGTTCGAAAAACATTATTTTTTTAGAGCTAAATACAATTCAGTTAGTAAGCCTGAGAAATTACAGTGGAATTCTGCAATATTGGTAGAGTAATTTATAATTTCTTATTTCAAAATGCATGTACAAAACCTAAAAAAAGTTATTTTGTTTTACATCTTCCACATGTGAAATTTGGCAAGGCTTAGCATGCCAGGTATGGCGAGTACAAACTTTTTTACAATCGATCATAAGTAGTAGAGATCATTTTTTCTATATTTCATTATTTGCTCTTCTATGTTTTAAGAAAAGGAACTGAAATTCAAGAACTTGTTTATAAATAGTAATGATATATATATATACACTGAGT